TGATTCCGATAGTTTTTTTTTACAAGTGACTCTAAATGTTTAACTTCAATTACAACTTCAATGTTTTTATAAATTAAAATCTACCACATTTTTAAATTTTTTTATTGGAGATCTTATAAAGGGAGATCTTATAATAACTACCTATAGTAGGATGTTGTATCATTATTGAATGATAGAGTGATAATAATAATTTTTTGTATTTTTAAAAAAATATTATTAACGTATAAAAATAAATTATTTGTTTATAGGACGCTTTAAATCATAATAATACTAGAATTAAACCTTTATACTATTTTGAAATATCCCAAAAATTAAGTTGCATATAAAAATAATTGTAGGGACAATTACATATTAGAATTGTATCTTTTATAAACATACAAAAATATTAAATTAGACATAGGTTTAGTTGGTTAAGTTGTGTTGCATCGTTAAATTATTGAATCTTGATTGCAGAACCGCAATGCAAAACACTTAACAGAAAAATATTCGTAAGTCAATATATATATATATATATATATATATATATAGATTTTTTCACGAATGTAACGGATTGTTATTCTAACGAAGTAAAAAGATATGCATATAGATGGATGAATAAATCTAAGTTATATAAGCATAATGTATTACCCACAGACCGTCGTCACCATCTGTCGTTACGTAAGAACACTAATCCCTGCGTGCCCAAGAATAGTATAACAGTAACGATGCGATGTAGTGTATTATTTTTGGCGTGTGTCTTGATAACAATTTTTTTTTTTTATGTTTTTATTAAATAATAATATTAAATTTAAACTAATGAAAAAATATATACGTGTGCAAAATTGTATTAATATGTTGAAACAGCATTGACAAATGTAATAAGTCATCGTAGGTTTTCGATTTAAAGAAATATTATTTAATTAACTGATTCATAGATCTGCTCGAATTGGTATATGTTGATTCATTTGATGAAAATGTATATAAGCTGTCAGATTGATCAACATTTATTTATATTATTTTATTTTTATTTTTATTGCTTCAATCAAAAATATATTAAAGTTTGACAATTACGTTTTTTGAGAAAATATTGTTATTAAAAATTATTTGTACCGTTATTATTAACATTTAATTACTTAAAGATATACAGTTGTAACACATGTAAACTCTAGTAATTATTATTAGGATTGCAACAACAACAATATAATATAATCATATAAAAAATAATGTAAAAGCAGTAATTTTGTACAATCATATAATTATTATTCCATTTTACAATAGTGTATGCACAATGCATATATTTACATTGATGCATCGAGTCAATATTTGCTGTTTATAGCTGCTGTTTGTTTGTTTGTTTCTCTGAAAATAATATATGAATGATATTACAAAATCATTATTGACATCCTATTAATTAATATCTTAAATAGAAACAATTGTTGGAAATATAACAAGTATTGTACTAATAAAATACAAATAGCCACTTGTACGTGTAAAATAAATCTGATAAAATATTGGTCACATACAAAGTAGTCAATAAAAAATAAAAATACCAACGTTTAATTTAACCGGTTTTTATTTTATTTTTTCAAAAAAAGAATCATACAATTCAATTTTTAAGTACGTATTCGAATTGTTATAATGTTTTGATTTCTATCTGGAATTAAATAGCAAAATCCAAATGCTAAGATTTGTACGATTAATTATAGTTTTATTAATAAACTTGGTTTAACTTTTATTGAAAAATTTTAAACTTACTTTTTTCAAAGCTAAGCATTTTCTAAGGTTAATTTTTCTGAATATTTTGACAGGCAATTACTTCATTTTATAAAAATGTTGCACTTCTTTCTTAATTTGTAAAACAATAGTGTTATTTACTATCGGATAAGGATTTATTGCCACGTTTATTTCATACATATCATATTCATATCTTTCTACATTAAATTTTTTTTTTTTTTTTGTCAATTAAAATAAAATAACAAAAATGATAAATTTGATAAAAGTTAAGAAATCGAACAGACTTTTTTTTCTGTAAAATAAATCCTACAAATAGGTGTCTTTCGAAAAGTGTACGTAATGAATGAAATAAAAATGTAATGTTTGATTATTTTATTTATTTTTTTAAAACTTTTAGATTTAATAATAATAAAAAATGTTGTAACTTGATTTTTTTTTTTTTTTACAAACTCTTAACATATCTTTATATTATATTTTATTATTATTATTTATATTCATATCTTTATACTAAATATAAATTTTTCGTGGAGATAATTTATGCGGGAGTTCATTGCCTGTACGTATTTATTGTAAAACAAACACAATCGATGGTCATCATTTATTATTCTTATCAGCAATATATATACTGTAGCTTAAGCAATAAGAGAAAAAGAGCTAGAAAAAAATCGATAACCGGTGGCGCCGATGGTCAATAATTTTATTCGAAACGGTTTGGCGGAAACACTGCCTGTCGTACACGGTGTTGCAACTGTTGCTAGACTTGCGCTCGAAGGAAAAACATGACTACGATGATATAGGTACATGTTCGATGATCGGAGACGTTTATTTATATAACTGTTTGGCCGCCAGACTCGACAGACGAATAGACGAATGCGCTAACGAATAGGTTCGTTTGATGCAATTTATACGTGCATAACGTACAAGTTGTACCAGTGGCGTGCCGAATATAGGTCTAAATGAAGCTCAGTCATCAAGTTAAAAAGGGGTGGGTGGTTGTTAAATAATAATATGTAAATCACATAATTATCGTATATATTTAGGTAGAGAAATATTGATATACGAGTTCTGAATGAGATGAATTTAAATATGGGTGGGTGGGTGGTAAACTAGACTTTTCAATTGGCATCAAAAAATTTTTTTTCTCGGCACGCTACTGAGTTGTACCGCATCGTACGATAAATTCTGATTAGTATCGAGACATCACCCAAAGCCTCAGTTTGCTGTACATTTTTTTCCCTTCGGAACCCTTATTCTTGTAAAAACTGTACTAGTAACCTTAGTTTGTTCACCGTTTACATTGTTCTTACCGTTTATCCCCCGAACGCTGAAAGATCGAAGTATTTTTTGGCAACCTCGAGAGAGAGTGAGAGAGAGAAAAAGAAAACATACTACACGAGTTCTAAAAACAATTCCAAAGGATCGTCGTCCATCGAAATGTCTGTAATATGTTTATATTATAACTGACGTATAAAGTTATCGGTTTCTCGCGCCGTCGCCGAAAATCAATGTAAGGTGGGTGTAATAATAAAGGTCAATAGGACTTTAACTTTCTCATTAGGCGTTCATTATTTTAACGTCAAATAATTTTACAAAATATAATCATTAAAATTAAGTAGTCAGCTGGTGTTTACCTATTTAAAATAAGTTTTTCTACATTTTAATAAGTCCAAAAAAATGCAGTCAAAGTTATTTTTTCATCACAAATAATTTTAATAGCTTAAATAAAAAAACTGTTGGTACTTATTTTAACTACTATTATACTTTCTTTATGATTATATAATGTACCTTTACTGTCAGGATACTACAGGATTTTCAATAATGATTTTCCACTCACGCCTACTTCAGTGTAATGCAGTAACTGTATCATGCGTTCTACGAAAAAAATGTATATTTAGAAACAAGTTATGTAATCTATGTAATATATAGATACTACATGGTATGCAGTGTATATTGTCAATGGAATCACACCGCCTCTCTTTTTATTCGTTAGAATACAGATTACATATTTCAATTATTCAAAGATGAGGATCAAATTCTTCCCCGTCAAATATTTTTGTATAAAATGTCCTTATGCTACAAATTAAATCTAAAAAATTGAAATGGCCATTTTGTTGTTATAACATCTGCATTGTTTCTAACCGAAAGCATTGACTAGTATTATTATAGTCATCTCCTTAAGTCTTATCTCAATCACCGGTACCACGAACTAACCATTTAGGACAAACGACGAATGAAATAAGATCCCATACCCCTATATCGTTCGTTACAAATTAAAATCATTGGCATAAAAAATGTATCGGTACTTTTTTTCTTTCGGCTACATGGGTGTTCTTACGGGAAGGATATGTATGATGGATCCTCTCTATGACCTTTTTTTTTTAATTATTTTATGTTCACGTTCAACTGATATTTAGTAATTATCAATGTTCATAACTTCTAGCATTTGCATATATATTTTTAGAGATCTTAGAGATACTTATATGAGATGTACACTTGTTTAGGAAAACTTAGAATATAAATATGAAATTTTATGATGCATATTTTTACATACTTCAAAGTTTGGATAATATTTTTTCTTTTTTGTGCACCCTGGCCTTTTTTCTTAGTAACAAGAAGGATTTGATTTTATCGCGAAACTGCCGAGGGTAGATTTGTTGCTAATATAGTTGTTGGTATACATGAAGGAGGTTTGCCGAGTAAGCAGTGTTTGGTATATTTTTAGTGCGCATTTTAGCGCTTAAATATATTTATAAGATTGTATGATCGCGCTTATCACATCCTTTTTACGAGCTACAAGTTATGATCCCCGGTAATAATCGAGTATAAAATGAATAAATACTTTTTCGACTGGCTGTTACTTCACACACACGTTACACGCAACACGTTGTGATCCACCCCGTGCGCTGTTTGTACATAAGAAAGACGGGACGGGCGCAGAGGATTAGCTGGCCACTTACCTCATATTTTAATAACTGTTCGTATGCCCTTCCCCGACCATGGGAAACGGACTCGGGTTCGGTTAGCCCGGATTCGATTTTCCGGCGGGCCCCGTCGACGACAGGTGTCTGTCACGGTGTACCCGCGCCGCCGGGGCGAATTTCGACGGCGGTCGGACAAGCGCGCGGAAACGTGGCCGCGGGGAACGCGAACGCGTAAAACGAAAAAGTTCGCGAAACGTGGGGAGAGAGGGGGGGAGGGAACGGGTGCGCGTCGGAGCCCCGCGGTGCACGCGCGCCGGCCGACCGAAACGGCGCGATTTCCAAGACGCGTTCAGTACCGGACGACGCGGCTCGGCGGCGCACCACGGTCCAACCCGCTCACGGACGACACCCGCGTCTCCGCGAAACCGCCGTCCGGTGTTGTGCTCGTCGCGCGCTCGCCGACGACGGTCCGTGCCCACGCGTTTCCGTGCGCCACCGTGTAATCGCCACTGTTTTTTTTTTTCTATTATTATTATTATTGAAATCGTTTTACTCTTGTTCCGCGTCCGCGCTACGTACGTCCGTCCGTCCAGCACGCGAGCAGTCACGCAGTCGTTTCCCGAACGGTGAGTAACAATAGGATCCGTGGGCCGCGCGCGCGGGCCATTGATAAATTCCGCCGGTTCCGACGGCATGACTGTTGTTCGTTTTCGACGAACGACGCGGACAAACCGTCTCTATAAACGGTTCTTGACATTTGTTTCACTTTTGACGGTTTCGCTAAGATCCTATTCGATACGTTTTAGATCGGTGGAGTTATCGTTTATTTACAGGCACAGCAAATGCTTGCCGACGGGATATAAATAAAAAATGGTCAAAGAATGTCGTGATCGGTGAACTTCACCCTTTACGCCCATGTGCGCGGTATTGTATTGTACAACTGTAGCCAATAGTATAGGGCAACGGTTCTCAAACTGTGCAACTACGCAAAAGACTACATGGTGGTACGCGAATGGCCGGGTGGTGGCAGAACGGAAATTAAAAATTCAATATTTAACTCGTATATTAATTTAAAAATACTAATAAATTTGTATTAATAAATAAATAATAATTTTATTTTATTATTTTACTGCCTTTTTATTTAAAATAAATGTTTTTAACTATGTGCAGATTGTATTTTTCCATTTTTAATCATTAATGGTACGTAACTGATTGATAATATACTCAAGTGGCAAGCGAAAAAAAAAGTTTGAGAACCGCTGGTATAGGGCAACCCTGTCGTACTCTCTGCCCCTTGGACGGTTTTTCGTATCCCATTCGTCGGTCGACAAAAAACCGAATGACGCAGGGAAGTGCACTTACTCGTACTCACTCGAGCCGATACGGACACGTCGAGTGTGACTCTGTAGCACTTTTGCGATACGTGGGTGGTCGAGAAAGTAGCAAATCGAAATAGTACCGCTTTATTAAAAATACGAAACGTAAAATAATTAAATTTCGTCGGGCATGTGACCGACTCCGATCACGTTTTTAGAGGCCGCATTAATGAGTAATATTAAAATTATAAAGCATTTATCACACTTCGATCTTTTAATAGGTAGTCGTGTTTGAAACGTTGAATTCGAATAGCCATACACGTAGCATATTTTTTCTCTCTTTGTGTTCCCCGAACCTCGAATCCTTATATTGAATACCGACTGGCATTCGTATGGTGTATTTAAATCGGTAGACCGTTCGGGGTAGAGGAATGAGCAGCGCGATTTATATGCACGTGGACGTCATCTCAAAAATCGTTAACTAGATGATAGAACTAGATGAGTCAACGCTAGCCAACGTTCAAGAATATATATATACACATTTTTTTCTTCGTATTTAAAGCCGTCATTTTGGACGGTTATTATGTGTTATAATTTTAAAAGATTTTTTTTTTATTACGGTCGAGCGAAAAAAAAATATAAACATTTTTCTGTACATTTTCCGAACTCTTAACGCATGTGTAAGGTGTATAGGCGGTTAGCGGGATTTTTCCAATCTCCGTAATAGATAAAATCGAATTGGTTTAAATGCAACGGATTAATAATACTAAGAGAAAACATTGGTAGTAAGGTGTACGTACATAGACATTATTCCGATATCAAACGAATCCAAAACGATCTATGTTCATCACGGTACGTTCGTTGCACGACCTCGGTTACGTTTGAGAGGTGGGTGGTTTGTAATTTAAACGAATATATTAAAGAAACATAATACAAACCATTATCAACATTAATTATGATATGCAAGTACTCAGATTTTATTTTATGACAATTGATAATTGTTAGTGTTATTACGATATAACAATATAAATTATATTTTCCTAAAGATATTTATTCGTAATAATAAGGTAATACGATCAATATAATTCTTATTTAGTATTGGTTCAATAAATGTGATTTTTAATATAATACTAATTACATTTTGTAATTCCATTTCATACGTCCCTCAACAATAACATTATTAAGACATATCGATAAATATTATGTTTGTTGAATAATAATCTGTCGAAAATATAACTAATCAAATGTGATCTTTTTTGTTTATTTTCTGTATTTCAAACCGCAATAGAAGAAATAAATTGCAAACGATTATTGGTGAATTAAACATTATACTTATATATATTTTTTTCAATTCTTCGTTTAAATTAGAAAAAAATATTGAATACTTGAAAATCAAAAAAAAGGTCCAATTGTTTAAAATATTTTTTAGTTACCTATACTTCCTGATAATGAATAAATTAGATTCAGATTTTCGATTAGAAAGTTTGATCGTAAAAAAAAAAAAAAATAATAATGTATTCGGTCTTATTTGTATTTTAAATTAAGTTTTAACTAATGATTTACTTAAGAATTATCGTGCTGTTTAATGTTGTGTGTATTTTTACATTTGTTTTGTTTATAATATTCTCTTGGTGGACATGATGATTGATAGATGAATATATATTTTATCTTAGTTACTGTTATCTAGTAAATTTTCCCCTCAAAACTTTATATTATGTAAAAAATTATCAACAGGTGAATGTTTCTTTAAAGTTATATTTCATAAAAAACACGTGTTGCGTTGTTACGTTATAAATAACTTATTAAATCAAAATAATAGTATTATTTTACATTGTAAACATAATTGCATTACGTTAAGGTCAATTTCTTTAAAAATGACGTATAAATTTATTCAACTCAAAAAATAACTATACTCAAAAGTCATGTATATTTACGAAAACGACAATTAACCTTTAAATAAACAACCAAAAATTGGTTAAATTATAATACATTCATAATCGTATAAAGTTATTAGGAAAAACATATTGAATATATAAAGTTTGATTTGTTCCGTTTAAATTAAATAAGTTAAAAACTAGTCAAACTTCAAACCATTATAATTATAATACAATAAAATTGTTAAATACGATACAATAATTGATTACAATTTTAAAGTTAATTTACAGTAAAAGAATTATGAAAATGAAAATATAATAGTACGAATTTCTTAATTGTATTGAATTACTCTCTGGAATTATAATAATTTATGTAATTTTTTTTTGGCTTTTAATATAATATACTTAGTTGATAATTCTTCCTCTGTATGGTGTTTGGCTTTCAAGACCTTACCATTCAACACAATTGCGTCAAATTTCATCTTTCTAAAGCTATTACAAGTTTCTCCAAATTTTTCTCCTTCTACGTCCTCTTTTACCCTTTCTTTCGAACGTTATTCTTGGACGTCCCATTGATCTTTTTTCTTAAGGAACATTTTCTAGTAATTTTTTTAATATCACTGTTAAATTAGATTCATATGTTTTTCATGCCATGCGTGTCTTGACTATACAAGACGTTTATTGGTGATGTTTTCATCAATACTCGAGCTTTGATATTGTTATTATAGTTCTCTATTTTTTTTTTTTTTTTTGACTCTTCATTACCTATTGTTTACATCCTTAAAAATAATTTTAGTAATATTTGCTTGTTGAGTTGATCACGTTAAGAAAATAATTAAATAATTTAATTAAAATTAACGGTATGTTATGTACTTCATTTTAATATACTTTTATAATTAAATTTTTTCTGTATATTTTTATGTACGATATTCATTACTTTTTATTTAATTTATTTAAACTTTCGGCCATTTTGGGACAACAACCCTAAATATGTGTATGTGCTTAATATTCGATTACACAAAGAGTAACAATATTTGTGACCACGGAAAAGAAATCAATGAAAAGTTGACATACAACGGTAATACAAACTATGAGTCACCTGTCTTATAAATATAAATTACGTTATAATGTCATGGGTGAATATACCGTATACTCGTATGTCATAGCCAATCATATTATGACAACGTCTCACACCGATGGTTCGTTACCAACGGCGACTAGGCGCGCTGGGTTAATACTAGTACAGTTGATCATCGTTATCAAGTTGAATTGATGGAACATTTATTCTGCAGTGGATCTCGTTGATTAAGTTTTTTTCGGCGCTATGATTTAAAAAAAAAAAAATTAAAATTATCTACCTACACCCATTCCCACGAGAGAAAGGCGCCGTTTTCGCGCAGGTAAAATGAACTTTAAATACTCGCTTAATCGTCTAATCTACTTTACATAATCGCTGACCATAACCGACAATATCGCAACCTCTGTATGCCACGTGTAAATACATGATATCGGTCGACGACTCTACCCATGTAGTATTTAACAAAATTTTGATGGGCATAAACAGTGATGACCAATTTTGGTCGACAGCTACCTTTTTCTCGTGGGAACGGTTACCGTAATATCTACAATATAACCAACTAAACTAATTGTGACTAACCTAGTGTTATCTACCTATATAAAATATTTATTAGCCATACACAATATTCACATTATTTCGTATGATAAGCCTATGTTATTCATTTAAACGTGAAGGCATTGCGAAGAAAAGTTAAGTAATAGCCTATATTCACACGTTTAAATTTGATCGATAGAACAATAAATTTAACTCTTAACCTACGGCTAAGAAATTGATCGGTTCTATATTAAAGTAACTTCGTTACGTTACTCTTATATACAGATGGAGATTTATTATACAATATGAAATTTAGTATCTCTTGTATCTCGATATGGGCTGCAATAAGAAATTAAAGATAGTGAACTTTTCGCTAGTCTTTACATATAAATAATCAGAGTTATTTTTTGTCGGGTAACATAATAGTACATTTAACTATAAAAATTTGTTGTGTATAGTGTTAAGAAAATAATTAAATTTGTGCATTATAAAAATGTATTGATAATTTCTATAATACCTTTGAAAATTTATATTTTTATCTTACAAGTATTTAACAATATTTTAATTTACATATTATTTTTGGTGCTGCGATATGAATATAATTTGATTTTTATTATTTTGTATGAGCATTTAAGGATTTTTTTTTTTTTAACTGAATACACAAATAAAAAAAAATCCTTAAAAGCTCGTACAAAATAATAAAAATCAAATTATATTCATATCGTAGCACCAAAAATAATATGTTAATTAAAATGTTGTTAAATACTTGTGAAATAAAACTATACATTTTCAAAGGTCAAGAAATGAGCATATACTATTAAATG